ATATATATATATATATATATAACTGTTAGTGTGCGTGTGAATTTGAGCCTAGGTCCTAATTTGGGCATATACATAGGGATAGACTAAATGACTATTATAACGACTGCTAAGTAGCAAATTGGTGCGCATGGAAGAGCGAGGGGGCTTGTTTACTAAGGGTAGCAGTGTGTAAGGAGAGATGGAATGGGTGAAAAGGAGCATGAACAAAGTAGGTCCTTTCAGAGTCCGTCTGAAAAGTTGTCGCTATCTTCCTCTTCTTCGCCTTCTTCATCCATTTCCTCTTCCTCAGCTTCCCGTTCCCATCCAGTCCGGTCGGGTGGGTCATTAGAGTTAGGGGCTCGAAGCCCTTCAATATCGGCCACAGGGACAGAAACACTTGGTTGTTGCTGGGAGTGGTGGTGGTGAATGGAGTCCTGTTGGGATGAAGCCCCACCAGGGGGAGTCCGAAGCAAGGCGACTCCTGGTCCAGACGAACGATAGAGCCGATCTCCTGTGAGCTGGGAATATTGTTGACGTTGTTGCAGTTGGGTAGATTGATGCTGACTTTGCGTGGATTGTATATCGGCTTGATGATTTTGGTGCTTAGGACTTGTTTGTTGAAGAGGGTGAGCTGAAGAACGATGATGCTGATGTTGTTGAGAATGGTGAGAGTGATGCGGGGGATGAGAAAGGTGTTGTGTAGAGAGTGACTGTGTTGGTGACGCCACTGAACCAGGACGAACAGGAAGGCGGCAATTAGGTATTGTAGAGTCAACAATAGCTAAAGGTGAAGAAGAAGAAATAGGACGTCCAGCATCGTTTGAGCAGCCTGTAGGAAGCAATGATGATCCACTAGTCATGTGAGCGGGGCTCGAAAGGATTCCGGAAGCGGTGAGTGAGTTAGCTACTTGCTCAGCCGGGCCCTCAGCTGAAGGTAAATGCTGCTGCTGGTGATGATGCTGTTGTTGTGGACGCAGAAATGCAGCTGGGGGAGGAGGCATTGATGGGCGTGCCATTTGAGAAGTGGTGGCCCGACCAAGAGCGGGCTTCACTTCGGCATCACTCGAGACGGGGGCAAGAGGAAGCGATGGAGGAGAGACGTGCTGGGATGATAGAGATAGGGCTGAAGCCGAAGTCAGCGGGAGAAGTGAAAGAGAGTGAACGTCCCCGTCCAAATTGGATCGCCTAGCAGGTTGTAAGCCCGCCCCTAATGGCCATAACTGGCGCTTCCGAGACCAATGGCCGGCACCGAGTCTATGTGAGCCGAGTAAAGAAGAGGAAGCCGTGGAAGGCGAAAGAGTACGCCTGAAAGGAGACTCTACCTCTTCAGAACGCCTGTCCGATAGTTCCGAGGTCTCTGCATGGTGGGCCCCCTCTGCTACTTCATGGCCCGAACCAAGGAGGGCAGAATAGCTATTCTGGTAAGTACGCTTCCGCCCGCTTGATTGAAATGCACGGCCATAAGATAAGCGCCTCGAAGTGTAAACCGATTGTGTTGAAGCTGGCTGAACAGGAAATGGTGCTAGCAAATGCTGTTGCTGATGTTGCTGGTGGTTATGATGATGTTGCATCATCTGGTGTCGCTTGGCGGCCCGCTCACCCGGCGACAGGCCGTTTCCAGCTCCCAGTGTTCTCCAGGCGACCGGATCGCCGGCAACTGAGGCGTAGCCAGATCGCTTGGCAGGTCCACCGAGCCCCAAAGCTAGACTGCTGGGCAACAATCCAGCATGGCCCGGAAAACCGGGACCAGCAGTACCAGCCGCGATTGAAGCAAGTAAAATCCTATCACGCTCCCGAGCCCGCGTCGCCAGTCGCAGTACAGGCTGGTGGAGCTGGTGCTGCAACAGCTGGCCGGCATCATTGGTCGAGCCAAGACTTGTTGGGCTGGTGGAGCCGCAACTACCCGTCTCACTGCCGATGCCACCACCTCCTCCAACAGTAGATCTATTAACTGCCGCAGTAATGCAAGAGGAGCCGAGTACGATGGATGGCAACAGACCGGAGGCAGCTGATGAAGCACCAAGCGGACCGGTTCCATGGTCGCTTAGCGAAGGTCCTGGCGGGAGGACTGAACTTAGTGGAAGTGGAGGCGCCTCGAGAGGTCGATCGTAAACGCACCACACCCAGTCCTCACGGGCGCTCAGCGACCACGGACAAGAGCGGGCACGCATGAAGCCAGGCAAAGAGGCTCGAAGCTCATCATTGACGTGAGCGTAGGCAAGCTGTTAAATATAGAAAACAAATTGATCTAGTGGACAGTAAAGACAGAGGGGCAAAAATATGGCGAAAAAGAAGAGGCCCACCTTATGTGAAATAATAGATGTCACGCTAATAAATGTTTTGCTCTGGCTTACCTTTAAGCACTACTAGATCTCCAATGGCACCTAGGTCCTCTATGGGAATGTTTAAAATGTGACCAAGAGGCAACAATGATGAAATACGATTATAAGCCATAAACTTTTAAATAATTGTCCTTTCATAGCATTAACTGGAAGGTATGACTATTTATTTAACTTATTAGGCGCCTGTCTTGCTCCGTTCAGTGGATAGGTTAGAACAGGAAGGTCGCATATGTACAACTCACCAGGGAGCATGGCTCAAATAGGCTTATAATAGACAGAGTATACGATCGTTGTACACTTTAGGCAGAGCGAGAACGATTCTTACTGATCGAAAAGCCAACAATAGCAAGCTTTGGCTATTCTATTTTCATAGTAAC